TCCTCAAAAAAAAAAAAAAACTTTCGCTGATAAATCATGCACAAGGGACCGTTGCAGTCTATCAGTCTTTGCATGGCAATGGTAACAAAATCTATGAGAGTAAAAAAAACATGCACAGACAAATCCAAATTAAACCCTGCGGCTCGTGACGACACATTGATGTCCTAAGACACGAAACGATCGGTTTGTGCCGGAAACCGAACAGTATTTATATCATTTTTTACCTTGAATTCACCACTATGTCCAACTGTCTTTGAGCGCGCGCACGGCATCCGGTGCGTGAGGGGTGTACGCGCTCTGGTGTAGTTTACGTTCATGGGTGTGTTGATATCCAGCCGAAGAGCAATCAACCATAACTTCAGGCGAGCAGGCTCAGAAGTTGGGAATACGTGGAAAGTCACCACTCCCGAATGAGTTTGCGCGAGAGAACGTAATCTTTTAGTTTTAAGTCGGTTTGAACAATCCGGATAAGCGCAAGTAAGTACCATTTTGATTAGCCGTCGTACCTACAATGACTGTGCACTGTGTAAACAATGAGTGACGTATACGCGCGAGAGATCACTTCCGGCGCTTGCGTAAACTACGCCAGAGCGCGTACACACCTCACGCACCGGATGCCGTGCGCGCGCTCAAGGCAGTTGGACATAGTGGTGTATTAGAGGTAAAATATGATATAAATACTGTTCGGTTTCTGGCACAAACCGATCGTTTCGTGTCTTAGGACATCAATGCGTCGTCACGAGCCGCCGGGTTTAATTTGGATTTGTCTGTGCATGTTTTTTTTACTCTCATAGATTTTGTTACCATTGCCATGCATTATACGACTGATAGACTGCAACGGCTGGAGTTAAAAATCATCATCTGTGTTCTACTGAAGAAACAAAGTCACCTACATCTTGGATGCCCCGGGGGTAAGCAGATAAACATCACATTTTCATTTTTGGGTGAACTATCCCTTTAAGTAAGATTTCAGTTTTAATTTAAAAATATCAATAGATGTGCACAACCTTATTACACGCTTAGTAAAGCGTTCCAATGAACAATAGGCGGCCAAACCATTTAAAATTCTGTAAACCATACACAAATTTGAGAAAAGACTAAAATGATCAAAACTCAAAAAGTCGTGTTTCTCCAAAACCCTACATAAACAGATGCACTATAATGTTCTATATATATATATATAGTGTTGGAAATACAAACACGTAGCAGAGTGCTCTAGTGTAGATGTTGAAGAGGGTGGGGCTTAAACTGCAGCCCTGCAGTAAATGTGTAGAGGTTTCTACGAGAAACAAGAGGAAAACACGGTGTAAGAGAAGAAGTGCACTCTTAAACGGAAAAGCCTCATTATAAAGTCTCTTCTGGGCTTCCACCTCTATCTTTACACGGGAGCTTTATTTGCAGGATCTGTGTTTTCTAGTGAAGGTGTGTGAAATAAAGGGCGAATCCTCATGTTTTAACCATCAAAGCAGGAGAAACACAAACCAGCAGACGCGTCTTACAAAGGCTTTAATACACAAACATACCAAATTCTGCTGATTGTGAAAGACAAAAGAATGCATTTCAAGTCTGGTCCGCGGCGTCCTGATCTGTTGTTTCTCGAAGTCGTCGTTGCATATTCGTGTGTTCGCGGCGCGTCTGTGGCGTACGAACAGAAACGTTAAATACTGACATTAACACTAGGTGAACTGATGCAGTTAGAAGGAATAACAAGGAGGCGAGCGCAGTCCGTTTACAGCAGCAGGCATTTGCTGCTCTTCTTGCCCTTGCGTGCCTGCAGCGCCGCCCTGGTGGCCATCTCAAACACCTCCCGCACGCCGTCCTTGCTTTTGGCGGAGCACTCCATGTATCCGAAGGCACAGATGCGGTTGGCCATGTCCCGGCCCTCCTCCGGCTTGACGGGCTCCTGCGGGACACACGCCACCAAACCGCTTTATAAACTAACACAGCAGTAAAAAACACCTATTCGGATGGGACTAGTTTTCTCAGAGGATCACTGAGTTTGCAGAAAAACAAGGTAATTTGCTCTGGAATTATTACAGAAGTTGAGTAAGAAAAACAGACGTGGCAGATTCGGACGGGATTAAAATCTCAAAGTATATGGAGCTCATAATATGTCAAAACTATTTGAATTGTGTAAATTTGAAATATTGACAAGTGTCATTTAACAAAACTGAATTTTATGTGGCATTTAACATAGTTCTGAATTAGATTTTTATTACTTGAATATAATTTATATAGACATGTATTTTCAAACAGCGGATTTTTTGTTCTGAAGTGTTAGACTGCAAATATCCAGTTTTCAAGATGAAGAAGAAATTTGGAACATCAAATTCAATATTCAAAATTCAATACGCAGAAATTCAGATCGTAGAGAAAGTAGGTCAGAGGTTATCCACAGGGAAGAGTAGATGACTTGATTTACAAGAAATGTTTTATGCATCTCTGATAATCCCAGGTTATATGATCACGCGGGTTGTTTACGCATTAAACTCGTGGCCACGGGGAAAAACTGTTGTTCCCTCAACATAAGAAGTGGTGTCAGAGTCCTGCACGGGTCCTGTCTGATTAACCCGCACCCGCAGTCTGTTATCAAGCAAATAAAATCAACACAGAAGCTGCATCTGAAGAGGCATTTAGGTGTGTTTACACACTGTTTAATGCAGGACATGGACGCATTTAATCTGCAGTTACAATGCATAAATACTGTTTTGATATATTAAACATAAATCGTTGAATGCTGATATTTGAAATGATTTAAAACATGAAAAACAAATTGGGAAAAAAGTCGAAATGTGAAATTAAAACCGCCAGTAGGTGGCAGCACGTCACTGTTAATAAGTGAGTCATTGTGATTGAACCGAATCATTTAAACAGTTGATTCATTCAGGAACGAATCACCGTCATGTTGCTCAGAGACACAGAACAGCGCTGTAGCTGTGTTTGGAGTTATTTTTGTTGTTGAAATAGTGCAAAAACAGGCAATATGGCGTCTCTTAATATTAACTTCTTGTTTATTGAGCTGTTGTAAAAAAATCAATATCACATTTGTAATCATGGTAATTTTTTGGAGAAAAACGGCACTCTTCGTGTGAAATTGATTAACTATATGAAGTGCTATAAATATATACATTTTCTGCCATCATGTCTTGAATTTGTGATAATTGTAAATGTATTTTATTAGACTGAATCCTGCAGTGAAAGAACACACTCTGATGTGCACGCACACCAGTCTAGACTTCACGTAATGTAAGCGTGCGCTCTGTAGGGCTGTTTTGAATGGTTTTTGCAAAATACTGTATAATGTCAAATCGCACATTGTTAAAACAACAATTACGATATTATCGCAGACGATATATATCACACATTCCTACCGCTGAGGCATCTCAGATGAGAAGATCTGTTATCTTGGCTTTTTATCCTTAATTGCAGCACCAAAGCATAATTAATATAAGGTAATTTTTTTTACAACTTCTGTTATTGGAAAAGTACAGAGGTCCGGACCTCGGGGACCTCAATGGTGGGTACGGCCCTGTAGCAGTAACTGAAGAACACTCGACCCGGTGTCCGACAGCAACACTATAATTCTGTACCCGACCGAACCACACACGCATGCTCCCACATGAGGCAGACAGAACTCGTTTATTAAACTTCTATTCAAACTGTGAACAGCAGGAAAGTAGGCGGTTTCACTGTCGGGGCAGAGGCGGTGCTCATCCAAACTTACACTTCGTGGCAGGAGCCGCCAGAAATAAAAACATGTTTTATCTTTTTATCGCCTTTAACCTGTTACCGGGCAGATTATTAACAACCAATGGAACATTTCACTGAGCTCATGTCGTGTTGTAAACATGATGATCATTTAACATGTAGCCTAATGGAATTCCCATTGGATGATGATGATCCATCAAAGATCTTTTACAGAGATATAAATAAATAAATAAAAATCCAGAGCATGCGTGTAGGAGTTGGTTTGCCAGGTAAAAATACAAATAGGCTAGGTGTAAAATGTCATTGTTAACTGTGTCTGATAGGAAAACTACGCTAGTCATAGTCCCAAGAAATGATAAATAGCAAATAACACATATACTGAATTTCCGTCATGTTTTGTTTATTTTTAGTAAAATCAAATGTGACCTTGTTGTTTGTAACTATGGCAATGTCTGCCCCGAGACCAGACCGCACAAAACACTTCCGCTACGAGAGAAAGCAGCAGCCGCGCGCGATTCCTGGATGTCATCATCTCCATACGATTATCTCCACAAAATGATCTCGTGGCCACGACGTATTATCACGTTTCCACGAGCTAATATGTTGTGGCCACGACGAAACTAGCCTAAGTGAACCGAACATGTCCGCTCCGTCACCGTAAATGCTTCGTTCGACTTTTCGGAGATCATCTACTCTTCCCTGTGGATAACCTCTGACCTACTTTCTCTACGATCTGAATTTCTGCGTATTGAATTTTGAATATTGAATTTGATGTTCCAAATTTCTTCTTCATCTTGAAAACTTCAAGCTGTATTTTTAAAAACTGGATATTTGCAGTCTAACACTTCAGAACAAAAAATCCGCTGTTTGAAAATACATGTCTATATAAATTATATTCAAGTTAAAAAAAAATCTAATTCAGAACTATGTTAAATGCCACATAAAATTCAGTTTTGTTAAATGACACTTGTCAATATTTCAAATTTACACAATTCAAATTCAATTAGTTTTGACATATTATGAGCTCCATAAAAGTACGTCTGTGAAACACAAAATTTTGCATAATGTGGGACTTTTAATTATAAACCAGTGTTATTTTAGCATCACTGAGATGCTACTAGTTTTTATTAATATTTTGAATGTTTTTATTTTAATATTTTCTGCAATCAAGTTAAAGTTGTAATTTTTGTTACATACATCTATATAGGTTTTCTTAATTTTTATTTCAGTTTTAGTCATTTTAGTACAAGATAGAATTAAAACGAGAAATATAAAGCTGTTTATATTTCATTTCAGGTAATGTTTATTTTACTTTTTTTTTTTTTTTTAGGATTCTTGCTTTAGTTACAAGCCTGAAAACCACAGAGACTCTTATTTTGAAAAGTGATGAGGCTTTGAGAACATGTTAAGAGCATTAATTTTTCTATGAATTATTAAACACTTCTGAAGACAAAAAATTGGCTTTCAAAATAAGTTTCAGCTGATTCCAATAATTAGGAAGTGCCACATATGGGCCTATATATTAATAGTTTTATATACGTTTATTATTATTATTATTAATGCTTGAAATAGACAGAGACTCTTATTTTGAAAGATCTAAGCTTTTCTACTTCAGTTGCTCATTCAAACATATTACAATATAAATTACCATAACATAACATACATTGTTATAATTCATCAACAGTAGATCATAAACGCTCTGAAACCGTGAGCCTGCAGAGCACAAAACAACGGCACATTTGAGCTTTAATAAACCGCCCAAACTTGGGTCCTCTTAAAATTAAGCCATTTCATATTTCATTTTTTTAGTCCCCACAGAAACTTTAGTGGTCGACCACTGGAGTTTTTTTGCTGGCTGATGTGTCACCATTTAATTTCACACGGTTTAATTTATATATGTGACCCTGCAGCACAAAAGCAGTGTTAAGTCACTGGGGTATATTTGTAGCAATAGCCAACAATACATTGTATGGGTCAAAATTATCCATTTTTCTTTTATGCCAAAAATCATTAGGATATTAAGTTAAGATCATGTTCCATGAAGATATTTTGTAAATCTCCTACTGTAAATATATCAAAACTTAATGTTTGATTAGTAATATGCATTGCTAAGAACTTCATCTGAACAACTTTAAAGATGATTTTCTCAATATTTAGATTTTTTTGCACCCTCAGATTCCAGATTTTCCAATAGTTGTATCTCGACCAAATATTGTCCTATCCTAACAAACCATACATCAATGGAAAGAGTATGACTATGATTTATACAGATTATGATGTATAAATCTCAATTTCTAAAAATTGACCCTTATGACTAGTTTTGTGCTCCACGGTCACAGACACATAAATAACAGGGTTAGTTTTACTATTGTTAGTCAAACCTGAATATGCAGAATGGGCTTTCAAAATAAAAGTCCCACATGTTGAGCCAATAAATACACAGAAAACTGTCTCTAATCTTAAACGCTAATGCTAGCGCGAGCTACACACCTGCTTCATCTTGAAGAGCTCGCGGCGAGTGTGTTCGTCGTGGCGCAGGTCCTTCTTGTTGCCCACCAGGATTATGGGAATGTTGGGGCAGAAGTGCTTGACCTCCGGAGTCCATTTCTCGGGAATGTTCTCTGCGGGGTCAGAGAGGTCAGAGGTCAGCGGACGCGGGGCTAGCATGAGCGCGGCTAGCGCGAGACTCACCCAGGCTGTCGGGGCTGTCGATGGAGAAGCACATGAGGATGACGTCGGTGTCGGGGTAAGAGAGCGGCCGCAGACGGTCGTAGTCCTCCTGACCCGCCGTGTCCCACAGCGCTAGCTCCACCTGAAACACCACACGCTAGCGTTAGCACAGCTCGCGGCCGCACGAACCGCTCGCTCCTCACCTGCTTGCTGTCCACCTCGATGTCGGCCACGTAGTTCTCGAAGACGGTGGGCACGTAGACCTCGGGGAACTGGTCTTTGCTGAAGACGATGAGCAGGCAGGTCTTCCCGCACGCGCCGTCGCCCACGATCACCAGCTTCTTACGGATCGCCGCCATTCCTGCGCGGAGAGAGTCTCGCAGCGTTACTCGCCCGGCCAGACCAGAGAACGACTCGACTCCAACGCCTCCAGAGTATATTTCATCATAAAATCACAATCGGGAAATCAATTGACATTTCATTTATATTGATGTATATTAGTGCTGTCAAACGATTAATCGCATTCAAAATAAAAGTTTTTGTTTACATAATATATATGTGTGTACTTTGTATATTTATTATGTATATATAAATATACACACATGCATGTATATATTTCAGAAAAATATTTTCTGTAAATACGTTTGCTATGACATCTACAGTGAAATTTCACAATTCTCAATACCACAGCAGTATTAGTAAAAAACAAACAAACAAAAAAAGTTCTCAAAATGATTTGAAAATAATTAACATGTCAGTAATAAAAAAATGCAAAGGACAAATACAATAGAAAAAAAGACACAAATGAAAAACTGCTTCAAGTTTTTTTTTTTTAAAGGGCACTTATTATGCAAAACCCACTTTTACATGGTGTTTGGACATAAATGTGTGTTAGCAGTGTGTGAACACAACCACGCTACAATGATAAAAATCCACCGCTCCTCATGTTTTAATAACCTTTAAACCAAGTCAGTCTCACTAGACCTGCAGTTCTGATTCTCACGCAGTGTGACATCACATTGTTTAGGCCCCGCCCACAGTGGCTGATTGACAGCCCTGCATTGCTATAGTTCCGCCTTCAGCGGTTACGCGGTCCTTCATGTTCTCCGCGCTCGAGCAGCTGTCTCGCAAGCAATCCCGATGCTCTGTGTCTGTTTGTAAGACTGAACATAAGAGTCTTCATTTTCTCCCAACATCTGAGCGGCTGAGGGCGCTGTGGATTACTCTCATTTTTCAAAGTAATGCGCCTCAAAATCTACCTAAATACATGCATCACTCCAGACTCCTTTGTGAATGTCATGTCGTTATAACCGTATGCGTGTGCATACATTAAGTATTTTTAACTGATCAGCGGGCTTGTGAGATTAGATCCGCGCCGATGACACAAATCAAATGGAAAATAAAGCAGTATAGTCTTGACTGTAATAATTAGACTTTCTTTGTTTCTTGTTGAAGCTAAAAAGTACTTCAGTCAAGAGCAGTGAGTGATTTAGTCTTTGTCTTTTGTTGTTTGATTAATATTAAGCACACAGTCGCAGCAGGAATATTAGGCTGCTGTCACTTTAAGAGCTGCACGGATCCAATTTACTGTTACACTAGTATCTTCATTCTTAACTCTTTACGTTCATTTATTACATAACCGACGAGGGTTTATGTGAATAATCACTAAGCTCCGCATTTTGACATTTTTGCGTGTATTTGACCGTTTAGGTGCTAAAAGATTACTTTATATGTCCGTCTCTGAGCGCATTAAAAAAAAAAGTTTTAGCGCTTTTAAAAACATGAATAAATCTAATCAAGCATGTACAATTTTGCAAAAGTTACATGATTTACTGATTTGCACGTGAAATTGGGTTTTTATGGAGGAACGAAAGCGCACCGCTGGAAAGCGGGTGGAATGGGGCGCAATAATCGTTTTATCTCGTTTATCATAATCGTTGGTGGCCAAAATCGAAATCAAAACTGTATTTCAATTAATTGCACAGCCCTAATATATATATATATATATATATTAATATATATCCCCCATACATATATAATATATACATGCATACACATATATATACAGTAGTCTCCCAATGGCGGAAGACGGTAACTCTGGGAGAAGAATTGTTGAATAAAATTGTGTTATTAATGACAGAATTTTCATTTTTGGGTGAACTATCCCTTTAATCTGAATCAAATAAATAACAGGGTTTGTTTTACTATTATTAGACAATATGGAGAATTGGCTTTCAAAATAAAAGTATGTTATATTTTTATATATAGAGTAAAGCATAGTTTATAATATTAATATTTGTTCATCTTGACATTTTTATGACAATAAAGTACATTTCCCAATCAAACATCCAAAAACAATGAATTAAAAAGTATAGTGCTTCATTTTCGTTATGATAAATATTATCATTATTATGCAAAGTTTACGTCTTTAGATATTTGGCATGAAATGACGCTCTAGTATATTCATGAGATTCACCCAAAAACCATTTAAACCTGAAACATTCAACTACTGTCACAATGTACAATATCTCTTCAGTGTTTTAATTGTAATATTAAATGACCTTTATTTTCCAAAAAATAAAATTTGTTTAATTTTCATTACTTAAAAGATAGATTTAATGAATGTTTTATGCCTTAAAAAAATGTAACTACACAACACAGACTGTCTGAGCAAAAAAAGGCTATTGTAAGAATAAATGAAACTTGTTTTTATGCTTTCAAATAATTAGACATGCTAAAACAGAATTTAGTAACAATAAAACATAAGGTTGGAAAAAATAAAACATTTCATAGGGCCCTAAACATGTAATATTTGTTAAACGTTTAATAAATTGAAGTTAAATTGTTTAAGTTTCGTGATTTTAATTAATTAGACATGTTTTTTGATTAATAAAATTTCATTTAACCATTAAAAATAGAGTCCAGAAAACATTAATTTTTATTGGGTTAGGTATTATAAACTTTATTTTTAGAGGTTTGATGAGGTTTGAATGAAGTGAACTGCTGCTCTTGTGTTTTCATGACCCCCCAAAAAGGCTTTAGAAATACATTAAAAATAGTGTCACAGAATTTAAATAACTAATAAAAGTGTCTTGAGTTCAAGCAGTTTCCTGTGAAAATGAAGGCACTTTCCTCTGTTTATATGCGGATTTAAGCTCTTCTCACGCTTTTAGGTAACGTTATAAATGCGGATGTTTACAGTGAAATGGATGAACATTATGACACTCAGAGCTTTATTTCTTTTGTACACAAACACGCTCTTGCCTTTAAAAGCTTGAATATATTTTTGTGTTGCAAACTGTCGATGCGAAGCTAACGGGCTACACAAGCGGAAGTGAGCGAGTCTCCTCAGTAAGACATTAAAATCCCCAAACATGAAACTCTCTCGCTCGAGAGAAGTTTAATAACAGTCGCTGATCTTTTAGCAAAAGCGTAATGAAGAGAAAACCGCATTAAATTCGCGCTCACCTTCAGTTCAACTCGGCTCGACTCGAGTTTTCCGGGTCGCTTCTGCGCGCGCGCCGGAAGCCAGTCACAACCAGCCAAGATGGCGTCTGAACAACAACCCGTCAAAATAAGAGTCCTCACCAGACGCGTCAAAATAAGAGTCCTCATCAGACGCGTCAAAATAAGAGTCCTCATCAGAAAGCGTCCAAATAAGAGTCCTCACCAGACGCGTCAAAATAAGAGTCCTCACCAGACGCGTCAAAATAAGAGTCCTCATCAGAAAGCGTCCAAATAAGAGTCCTCGCAGTTCGCTTAACAGCAGTTCATTTACAGTTTTTCTCAATCGATTGGACACGTCTCCAAACTCAGGTCACTGTTCTCAAAACAGTTAACACAGTGATCTGAATACTTTGTAATTGTCCTAAACAGATTGTACGTTTTAATTCATTTTATACTAATTACAAATCATGCAAATAATTTTCTCAAAACAATGTGCACAGAAAACTCTCAAGATGTTTTTCACAATAGTTAATACAACCAACCAATACTTTAACATATCTGAAAAAATGTTTGACACAAATCACAAACGTTTATGTTCTATTTGTCCAAACACAACAAACAAAACTCTGTAATTTGCCATTCGATCAAATGAACATGGTATATTTTCGACTGAGACAGGAGCTTTTCAAGCATAGATTCAATCTTCTTACATTTTTTCTCCTATGATGCATACGCAGCACATATGTAGTGTAGATGTAAATGAAAGGCAAGATCAATAGTTAAGGATAATTCATGTATACAGCAAACATATATCCACCACTGTGCTGTAAAAGACTGATCTGTAGATATCTTGCTACTAAAGGTGGCACAAACAGATTTTAAGTTTAAAGCAGATGTTGGATAACAATTTTTATTTCGTTTAGATATGAAGCGTTGTGCTACTTTGGTGTAGGGTTGTGTTAATTGTGTGTAGTGTTTTGACAAACCGGGCCCTGTTTTCAAAATTGTGCTTAAGCAATCGTAAAAAACTGTAATGTACACAGCAAACATATCTCCACCACTGTGCTGTAAAAGACTGATCTGTAGTTATCAGTAAAGTTTGTTTGCATTTCTTGCTGCTAAAGGTGGCACAAACAGATTTAAGGCAATTAGTTTTTTCTCATGGGTGATAGACATTAAAGCATGTCAACATATTCTGTTACACCAAATACACAAAATAATGATCTTTAAAATAACATCATATGACCCCTTTAATAATTGCATCACTAGAAAAAATTGCAGTGCTTCATGTTGCAGTAAAGTTGGGATGCTTGGTTAAGATAATTTTGTGTTTGGATGGCTGTGCTAATTGTTTTGAGAACAAGTACATTGCATTGGAGAAAAGTGCCAAATCGATTGAGAAAAACTGTATTAGGTGCCCTTTTTAACACTCAAACACATACACAGTCGCAGTTTATAATATCTGATATTATATTATCATCATTATCATCAAGCCTTCATTTATTTGATCCAAAGTACAGAAAACGCTGTAATATTGTGAAATATTTGTACTATATAAAATAACTGTTTTCTATGTGAATATAAACAGCTGAATTGTGGGAAAGAGCCAAAGAGAATCTCGGATGCGGCTCAGCCCAGCGATTGACGGACGTTCGCAGGCTAAATGAGAAAATATGCCGCTATTTGGGAAAAATTCAAGGACACGTTTTGTGTCAGCTGTCTTTAACTCTTTCACCGCCAAACACAGAGTTTTCCAGGTTCATGTGATTTTTCACTGTTATACGCTAGGGGGCGCTATCACGCATCTCCTGAATGAGTCTAGAATCACTCGATCAAAAACATAGACCAGGAAGACATGAAAAATAATATGAAAAATAATGCGATCATCAACACTAACCGCATATAAATGAAACCTGCCTGATGTTAGCGAGTGAAATGTGCATCCAGAAAGTGTTAAAGGCCTGTGCAAGCTTTGGGAGCGCTGATGGAAGACATCTACTGCATCTTTGCTTTGATAATATTACTGAATATGATCCAGATGTAGTTCACATATTCATACAACAAAATATTCTGGGGGCCATGACATTTTAGTGAAAATCATAAAAAATGTTGGTGGTGGCTGGCAACTTTTTTCAAAAACGCTGGCGGGGAAAGAGTTAATAGTGTTGGGGCATCAGGGTTAGTTTCTGAATATGTCTGAGGAAACTTTATGAAGTCTTAAATGTTTTTTTTCTTTCTTTATGGACAGAGAGAATGGTTTCTAGATGGATGGATGGATGTAGATGATAGACAGACTCCGGTGGAATGAAGGACACAGATCACGGACGGATCCGTATGAGTCCAGACTCACTGAGCTCCAGTGATCTGTGGTAAAATGCAAAAAGCTGAAGTGAATATATAGGTGTATGTATGTGTGTACCTACTTAACCATATTTTGGGGACAAATTTGTACCCAAAAGTGAGCAAAACCTGACAAAATCGCCAAAAACCTCCATTTGGGGATGCCCTCATTTGTAAAACTGGTATAAGAATAAAGTAAACAAAAAAGTTTTTTTTTGAAATTGTAAAAATGCAGAAAATTTTCTGTGAGAAGTGGGGTTAGGGGTAGGGGTGGGGTTAGGTTAACAATTGTATAACTATCCGTATATAAAAACAAGAGAAGTCTATGTAATGTCCCCAGTTAGATAGCTGAATAAACGTGTGTGTGTGTGTGTGTGTGTGTGTGTACTGTACATGTATGTATGTATGAATACACACACATTGCATATGCATCTGTGTTGTATGCATATTCTATCTATCTATCTATCTATCTATCCATCCATCCATCCATCATCTATCCATCCATCCATCCATCCATCTACAAGCCAAGTCAGAAAGTAAACTATTTCTAAAGTGCTTTATACAATATAGATTGTTTCACAGCAGATTCTTGATCCGTTACAGAAGGAGGAACAAGGAAGCGCTGAGCTGAATCCAGACGGCTGAAGTGTGTCTGAACACCTTTACCTGCATCAGGTGCTCAGAACAAACCCCGCCCCTCACAGCCAAGGCCCCGCCCATCAGACACTCCTCAAAAACGTCTTCAATTCATTCATGTATGTGGCCGTTTTTCACTGCGAGTGTCAAATGCACAGGTGGAAATGTGTCACAAGTTCAGGGTGAAGCTCGATGACAAAAAGTGGCCCAAACGACACCAATTAACCAGCGAGGTCTGAAAATTTGTGCTGCCTGCATTTAAAACAGTCATATTTAATGAAGATGTTAAAACATGCGTAGCACGCGCCAGAGAAGCTGTGAACAATATAAGAAATGATAACTGAATCCGAATGTGATTCCAGCATAACATTGCTGTGTAACCCTAAAACCATACAAACACAGCGTTAGGCAGTAACCCGAGACATGAACGTCCCACACATTCACGCTTATATTCATTCAGATTACACGTTTAATTATACACCTTTGAATCTAAAATTTAACTGAAAGTTTACAGTTCATACTTTTAATAATGAATCAATGTTTCTTGTTTCTTCCCTCAGACAATCCATCTCATGAACACTTAACTTGACAATAAACGTGTAACACACAACACTATTTATACATTTATTTATTTAACACACATACTTATTTACATCTCCTTGCATTTGTACATAACATACCTGTACACACATCTAATACCATCTATTGTCTATTTTATATATTGTAAATTTTTGTAATTTTTGTCTATTGTTATTCCATATTTACTTATTCTGTTTTTATTATTTTTATTATCTGTGTCTTGTCTTGTCACTGTCATTCTGTTTGTACTGTGGAAGCTTCTGTCATCAACACAAATTCCTTCTATGTGTAAACATACCTGGCAATAAAGCTCTTTCTGATTCTGATTTTGATTCATTAACATCCATGAAACCTTTAAGTGGCACAAAATCTTCTTTACAGTAGAAAAAGTTCCACAGATTGTTAAGAAGAAGGAAAGAAATGAAATTGTTAAATTATTAAATTAAATTTAAAACATATTATTATTAAAATAAAATACATTACATTACATTTTCCCACCGCATTCCCCAATGCTTAAAAAACCCACACTAGACACCTAACATGTTGAGTGCTACAGACCCGTGCCTCTCCTCCCGTTCATAGCAAAATCACTTGAACGTGTTGTGTTCAACCAAGTGTCCTCCTTCCTTTCACAGGTTTGAGTCTTACCCAGGGCCACGTTATCCTAATGGGCAACATGGGCTGCAGTCTAGGGCCCCGGACACTAGGAGGCCCCGAGGCTATTCTCTTTTGCATTTTAAATAGGGCTGCCAACTGTTCCTTATAATACGGAATTGCCCTGTATTTGAGGCATCAGAGAAGCGTTCTGTATGAAAATTATACAGAATGCAGTTTATCCCGTATTTGCAGGCATACACCATATGACCACCAGACCATACGAATAACAGATAAATTATTATTTTTCCAAATCATTGTTTGAACTGCAAACGTAGTCGCTCCAGGAAGCCTTAAAGACCAAGTGGAATCCTTTGCCGCCTAGTCGCTCCCGCTTCACAGTGAGATTTCTGCAAATCAGTTTGATTATTAATCGTAAGCACAACATCCAGCTAGAAAACATACAGTCTACCTGAGGGAAGACGTCTTTCACTATTGTAAGTTAATGTTGTTAAATAGAGAAACAAAATGTAAAAATTTTAACTTCTAGCGTATTATTACACTTGGACCTCATTATTGAAAAACAAATTCAAGCACCAAAAGCAGCCCACACTCTAGGCTATAAGTTCTCTTTAATTGAAAAAAAACATGCATACATAGGCTATGGTTGCAATAGAGAAGCAGGAAGAACAGGAAGATGTCACACCCCTGGACTGTTTGTGTTTTCCTCCCCATGTGACCCAGTTTCTGTCTCTAGTTGATTATATCATTTAGTTCAGGTGTGTCTTGTCTATTAGCCCCGTTATCCCATGTATTTAAGCCCCAGTCTGTGCAGTCTGTGTTTGTCGGGTCTTAAACATCATGTTCGTGTGTCCAAGCTGTTCCTTGTGTGGATGACCCCTTGCGTTTTGGATTTTTTAAAGACTGTTGCTTAGATCCACGTCTCCGCGTCGTTACTTCTGACACAGTGAA